GACAATACCCACCATAACTGTTGAGTTCATTGTTCTGCTATTGAGTATAGCAGTTTCCACTTTCCAGCATCCAGTCAAAGAATCTCTCGAATGGAACTGTTTGTAGAGTGTGTTGGGGGATTTAAATCCCATAAATGCATCCAGTTTTGTTGATTCCAAACAAAGTGTTGTATATGAAAAGTGTGTTGAATGTTGTGTTTTAAGGATGAAATTTAATTAAGCACTATCAGAAATCGATGTTTGTAACCAAATTGAGCTTATTTGTGAGCTTAAGCTTGATTTTTATATCCTCGTAACTTAATTAGAGCTTAAACTTGCTTAGCTAAATCCCTTGGGAAATTTTATCCAACATTTACCTATCATCAATTGCAAGTCCTTGAGAGGATTTTATGGTTATATTTCCCTAATCAAGACTGTCGAGTACATTAAACTAGTACTTCACTAGTGGATTGAGTAAATTCGTAAATTCTATTTTAAATTTCTGTAAACTGTAAATATTCATGCTCGATTATTTACGTCAAGACTTATCACTGTACCCTTCATGATATTACTTATAACATTACTTGCCTTTATTAAACTTAATTGTTACATTAACACTTGAGAATTTGTTTGAGAGTCTTAGAACTCTTTCACGAGTGCTAAATATACCAATTTTCTTCGTCCTCTAGCCAAACAACTCTAGACACATTTCAAGCTGTTCAACAAAGAGTTTTGAATCTTATGATCAAAGCATTTCCAACTGAAATCATAAACTAAAGTCCTTTGTACACAACAGATTTAAGGTTTTTAGGCAATTCTCTGTGGCATACTCTGGTCATACTAGACGACTTTCTAAATGCACATCGTATTTTCAATAATTGTGGGTTAACCATTCATGTGAAATATAGCACCAGTTGGACTCTTTAGAGCATGTAAAATATCAACTGCCAAGCTTAACTACATATGGATACAACCATTGACGGATGACAGGGTGGAAAAACAACACAATCTGTAGGAGCAGTTGAAAATATCCATAATTATAGCTTGTAAGAAGGAAGCCAATAAACAAATATTTGTGGTCATTAAGCAACAGACAATGATTTGTTCAGAAAGTCGAAGTCTTACCTCCAAATTCTCCATATCCCAAACAAATTATTTATGGTCGTTAAGCAACGGAAAATGACTTGTTCAGAAAGTTGAATTCTTACCTCCAAATCATCCATATCCTAGCCATTGCTTTGTTGGATTATGATGAATGCAATGGAATTGTAAACGTGTCAACCCCAGTCTCGGTTTCACAATATTTCTAGGCCACCAAAAAGAAGCAAGAAACACAAGCGGATGATAGTTTTGAATGAAGCTTCTACAGTTTATTGCTTAAAACAAAGCTCTTGAAATCTGATTAAACTGTAATAAGAAGGCAAGACATAATAATGAGACTCGCAGCTGATTTGTTTCATCTAAAGTAGTATATTAACTTAGTAGCCAAAGGACAGGATATATCTCTTTCTGAGATAAGCAGAAGTTAAATTATACTGTGGAAACATGTGCATGAATGTATACAACTCAGACGAAAACATTTTCCAGAAACAAATATATTGGACTTCTATTCTGAAACTTGAAAATCCACCCAAGATTGTGTAAAATCATGGAAGTCATAAATGAAGTGAAATGCTTTTCAACTTAAATATTCTCTCACCAAAATCCAAATAATCTCAAGGGCATGCATAACTCAATGCTAAAACAAGTAGCCATAATGTAATATTCACAAAACAGAATGTATTGTGCAACATTTATTGCAGTAAAATGCTAGTATAAGGGAAAAGGTAGGGTAGAAATCACATCGTTGCTTGAACATAAAGATACAAGAAAAACAAAATGATATGTACGCAGCGGCCACGTTCACCGAAGAAAACATACAATGAAGGGAAGAAAAAAACATTTCTAAAGAAGAATAAGAAAGCTCAAGTAAACTTACTACTATGAATTTGAAAAAAAAACTAGAAGTTCTAAAGTTCATAATCCAATGAAAACTCAACAGATAAGGTTACATTTCCAAAGAAGGAAAAACATTGACTATCTGCAAGTTCTAAAAGTTACTCCAAGTTCACATCCTACTTCAGTATCATATCGTGAAGAGCAATGCAAAGGAATACCCGACAGAGAAATACTACTAGTTGTGTACAAAAGAAATATCAATAAAAGCTGACTTCTGATCTATGTAATTAACAATTAGGAGTAATCACAATGTCATAATAATTCATCATCATTTCAATGCCCAAAATGTATGCATAGAACAGCAGTAAGAGTAAAATAAGAGATAAAACAACACACCGCAGCAGAAGGGCTTGTGGATTATATGGAAACAGATTCTTCTGGCAAAGACTTTCGATGGATGTTTTTAGTGAAACCAAACAATCCCTAGCACTCACAAATGGCAGTCTATGATTTCTGCCATGCTTACTGTCAGATAGCTGGACTTTCTTACATTCCATTTCAAGTGATGAAGGAGCCCCATCATTTCTCACACGTGAAGAGGATAAAACTTCCTCAGAATCCAAACATCCTGCTAAAACTTTTCTTCTCTTAGAATATAAGAGATGTTTAGCTTCTTCTGTTTCCGGATATTTGACGAACAAATTCCAGGAATCACACGCTACTCGCAAGGACCTACTAGCAAACGTGTAAAATCAAAATGGCAACATTTATCAGATATGCAGGTTAACAGGCGTTAAGCTTTGCACTACAACCATGATTCAATCTATAACTCTGTCCATTTTATAAACAAGTACTCCTGGCACATTACAGGGAAGATAGTGCAAAGAAAAAAAAAAGTTAATAAGCATACCTCAAAAGGTATTCAGCACAGCTGGCACCTCTGTCTTTTGAGATAAGATAATCAAGAAGTACTTGGTGATCATAGAGTATCTGAAAGGAAGGTAAGTGCGTGACATTGTAACGGTAACACCCATAGGTAAATGAAAATAAATAAATAAATATGAAAGCACTTGCAAGTGTGCAAATGAATTTGCAAAGAATTTACCTCTGCAAGGAATATGTGAAATATATGTATAGGATTAAATAAGTCTGAAGCAAGAAAGAACTTGTGATTCTTCACTTCCAAACGACACCCTCCTCTAATTCTACATAAAGCACAATTTTCATTCAAAAGTCCTCATCAAATACTTCAAAAACCTGCTAAAAGGAACCAAGACACTGAAATGTGCATCACTTACAGAGGATCAGGATGAAATGGCATGCAAAACAGTTGCAAGAGCACTTCAAATAGGATATCATCCTACAACTCAAACAGACAAAAGAAATCAGAATATCTGATCACAAAATAAGAAGAAAAAGAAATGGTAGAAACAAAGTTATGATCCTTTGATATTTATATTCTTTTTTAATGATACTTCCACTAAGCACAAATGTTTAACTGCAGTCAGCCCGTATCCTAATTGCTTAAGAATATCCCAACCCCAGTGCCAGGCATGTGCACTTAAGGGCTCTCCTAATTGCTTAAGAATATCAGCAGGTTGCAAATATCTTTACCAATCTATGACTTGTCTCTGCCATAATTTTCTCGTATGCAAATTGATGTTTGTAGACTTCCCAACATCAATTGGGGTGGGGTGGGGGGGGGGGGGGGGGGGCTCTACACATATTCTAGANGGGGGGGGGGGGGGGGGAGGAGATATTAGAGGCATGATTATGATTTATGATTCATCTTTCCTTGTATAAACATTTACTTTCTTTATTTTATTTCCTTTACGCCTATGTAAATATTCTATAAATTGGAAGGAAATACATTCGGTAAAGGCATTAAGCCAATTCTTGTCAATGAGCCTTCTTTATCTATACTGCATTAATTAAAGAAAGAGGCAATAAGTTCGACAAATTTTTCATTTATTCATTATATTTATCAACTATGACCCCTAGCTTTTGCTACCCGTCTTGCCACAATTCTTGCAGTTTTTTCAATAAAATAAAAAAATAAAATAAAAATGAATGAGTCGACAAATAAAGGCCTAAAGTGACGAGGAAAGGAATATACAGGAAGAAGGAAAACAAGAAGAAATGAAAAAGCATATGAAAAAACAAGGATGTTAAGACAGGTTTTTCACAAGCTAAATGAGGGCACTATTTTATTCACGAACAAATTCTTGACTAAAAAGAAATATATTTCTAAATCATGCATGAATGAAATCTTAAAAGTTAAATTTTAATAGATATGTTTAATACAAAGCAGTAGCAAATGTAAAGTCGTAAAGGATTATTTAACTAGAAGTACAAGAAAGGACCAATAAAATAATTGAAGATCTACAAGAGTAATTCATCTACAAGAGTAATTCAAGAAAGAATGGAGAAAACCTCGTGCATATATAGCTGAACGAAGGACAAGGTAAATGTCAGACATCGTTTAGAATACATTTCATGGTCCAGAAAGATATCAGCAGGAAC